TCCTGATGAAAAAGTCAGATGAATGTGACATGAGCGTTCACACTGCAGTCACTTTGAAAACATCAGATATATATCGGATTTAAAACCACATACTGAAACGGCCTGGGTCGGATTTGTCACGTTCAGACTGTCATAAAAAAATCGGATATGAGTCAGACGGGTCAAAAAAATCGGATTTGGGTCGGATTTGCCTGCAGTGTGAACGTAGCCTTTGATGAAAAACTGACATGGAGACCTCATTTAAATTAAGAACAAAAACAGCTAAATCTATTGCAGTATTGTATAAAGTTGAGTTATTTAATGATAAAGCACTATTTACACTGTATAATGCAATAATTGTTCCACATTTGATTTATTGTATAGAAGTCTGGGGAAATGCATGTAAAACAGTTACTAATCCTATTTTTATTTTACAAAAAAAGAGCCATAAGAATTATTACAAGAAAGCATTACTATCACCCTTCTAATATATTGTTTCATCAGTTAAAATTATTAAAATTTCATGAGTTGGTTGATAATAACATTCTGCAGGTTATATATAAGGCTCATAAAAATGTGTTGCCGTCAAACATCCAATCACATTTTGTTAAGAGGGAAAGCTGCTATAATCTGAAGGGATTACAAATGTTTGTTAAACCAAAAATCTGAACAAACTTGAAGAACAGATGCACTTCAGTAAAAGGTATAAGACTAAGGAATAATCTGGAAAATGATTATAAAAGCATTGGTTCAATTAATTACTTTACGAAAACAATCAAAGAAAAAATGTTAAAGAAATATGAAATTGTTTAATTTGTATTAGTTACTGTTTGAGGAGTTGAAACTTTTGTTTTGTTTGTCATTTGGTTTATTATTGTTTGAAATATATTTTTTAAAGGAGCAGATATAAGAATTTTTTTCTTCTGCTGCCTTTCATTTTGTTTTATTTGAATTATTTATTGTGTGAAATGTTTTGTTTGTTTTTAATGAAATTATAAATGAATTAAACATAAAAAAGATTGTGAGTCTTACAGGGAACATTTGTGTTATCTATTTGCGTTGTGTGAAAATTATTTTTTAAAATGTAATTTAAAATTAGATTTTTAAATACATATAAAAATGATAAAAAATGACACTGAATGGTAATGGAAAAACCTTAAAATTCACAGATAAATGAAAAATAAACATTATGATGATCCCATTGGCAAAAACATTTTTTCCCCAAAAATTCACCGCATTTCAATGTTTTGTTTGAGGTCTAAATCTTGAAGGTTTTCATGGACAGCTGTTGTCATGTAGCAGCGGAGATAAAGACCACACAAACACAGCAACAGAAGGGCTTTTATAGAACCACTGAACCAAAGATGAACTGAAGTTAGATCTAAAAAGAAAAGATCAGGGCCCGTATTTATCAAACTTCTTAGAATTACTCTAAAGAATGCTGCTAAGAGTGGACTTAAGTGTAAAATAATTCTTAGTTAAAAGCTGAGAGTAAAAGTCAGTTATCAAGTGTCTCAGTTTTACTTTAAGTGAAGTGTAGGAGTAATTTTTAAGTGTCAGTCTTACTTTAAGTGAAGTGTAGGAGTAATTCTTAAGTGTCAGTCTTACTTTAAGTGAAGTGTAGGAGTAATTCTTAAGTGTCAGTCTCACTTTAAGTGAAGTGTAGGAGTAATTCTTAAGTGTCAGTCTCACTTTAAGTGAAGTGTAGGAGTAATTCTTAAGTGTCAGTCTTACTTTAAGTGAAGTGTAGGAGTAATTCTTCAGTCTTACTTTAAGTGAAGTGTAGGAGTAATTCTTAAGTGTCAGTCTTACTTTAAGTGAAGTGTAGGAGTAATTCTTCAGTCTTACTTTAAGTGAAGTGTAGGAGTAATTCTTAAGTGTGTCTTACTTTAAGTGAAGTGTAGGAGTAATTCTTAAGTGTGTCTTACTTTAAGTGAAGTGTAGGAGTATTAAGTG